TTTTCCTTCTGTTTTTGGTCTTCATTTCCTTTATGAAAATAAGTATTTATCAAGTTAGTCATATCTACATTGCTTTTTGTTGTTGTTTAAACATGATCAGGTCAGTCATGTATCTGTATTACTTTCTTTTTGGTTCACATCTTGAGGAATTTTCTCTGAGAGTGTTTCTAGTGTAGTTCTTTGGATGGCAGACCTTTGGTGATGTTTTTTATGTCTGATATTTTTATTATGCCCTCATATTTGAATGGCAGTTTGACAGTTTGAGTATATAGCTCTGTGCTCAAAATTCTTCTTCAGTACTTTACAGAATTACTTTAATTTCTGTTCCATACTTACTGTTGCTGTTGGGAAGTCTGTCAGTCTGGTTCTTTATATTTTTAAGATATGACCTGCTTTTTATATCTGCATGCATTTTGGATGTTTTCTTTGTATTTGATTTTCTTAAATTTCATAGTAATGTCGATGTACAGAATTTTCTTCAATCTCCTACTTGATACTCTGAGCCCTTCTGAAATGTTTTTAATGTTGAGAAATGGATCATTATTTGTTTAAACATTTCTTCTCAGTTTAAGTCTTCTTTTGGAAGATAGGGCTTGAACTCAAGGTCTTGTACTTTCAGTTGTTTTTTTTTTTGGTTTTTTTTGCTTAAGGATAGCACTCTACCTCTACTACTTGAGCCATACCTCCACTTTGGCTTTTTGCTGATTCATTGGAGAAAAGACCCTCATAGTCTTGGCTGACAGGGCTGGCTTTGAGCATAATCCTCAGATCTTAGCCTCCTTAGTAGCTAAGGTTACTGGAATAAGCCATGGGCTCCTGGCTGGGCAGTGCCATTTCTATATTACACATTTTAAAATCTCTGGGATTTCTTACTTGTTAAGTTTACTATCTTAGTTTTCTTTTCGGTCATAGAAGTTCTGTTTTGTCCATTGTGTGGGAGGATGAGTGTGTGTGTGTGTGTGTGTGTGTGTGTGTGTGTGTCTCCCCTTCCTCTCTCTCCCTCCATTCTTTCTCCTTCTCTAGCTTATTTATACCAGTTTCCCTAAGTGCTTTGTTCAGATCTAGGTCTTACTTGCTGCCCTAACTCTCATCCTGGGGACCAGAGGCCTAGACCTGTGAAGTCCTAGGCAGGTGAGGGAAGGTGGTGGTGGAGTTCTGGCCTTCTTTTAGTGTAGCAGCTGTTCCCAGCCCCCACTCCCACATGGAGAACTGGATTCTTGCTCTCCTGCCTTCAGCTCAGTTGTATCCAGGTTCTGAGTACCCACAAGGTCCCAACTTCAGTCTGGTTCTGTTGCTTCTGGTTAATCTTGGAACCAATAACCTTTGCTTTATACTTCTCCTGACCTGAGTTGTTGTTGTTTTCTTTCTATTACACAGAGATGTGGAACAGCATTTTAATGCTCACCCCCCCCACACCCCCCCACACCCACCCTCCTCCCCTCCCTCCACATTAATGTTATTTTATCTTCCTGATACTGCTGGGCCGTGAGGGCAGAAGGGCAGGCTTCCACTTAAAATTTCATTTTCATCGTAACTGAGCTTCATCGGGAGACTGTGACCGTGTTGGTTTAAGTGCAACTACTTTGTGCCCAGCAAATATTTCTCTGATCCTAGTGATGAACTATTGGCTAATGAGAAGTATCTGAGATGATTCTGCGGACATGGAATCTGCAGTGGCAAGCCTGCAGCTGCCTTCCAGCCAGCCAAATAGGTGCCTGGCGTTTGCCTGAATTAATTCAGCGAATACATCAGCTTTCTTTGTGTTTCCCCTCCCCCTTCTATTCCATCTTGTCTCCTTTTCTTCCTTATTTCTACTAAAACATAAGAGGGGCTGGAGGCACTTCTCACATAGTAGAATACCTGCCTGACTAGCACAAGGCCCTGAGTTCAAAGCCCAGTACTGCCAAAACAAAATTGAGGAACACGGAATAGTGGTGCTGCGAGGGGGACATGGATTCCTGGCCTGAACAAAGTCAGGACAGGGAGGGACTCAGGGAAGCAATCTCTGACTACTGAATGGTGAAGAGATACATTTGCTAGACAGACACAGAGGAAAGCAAGAGGAAATTCAAGGCTCTGTTCCCTTCAGCAATGCCAAAAGAATATTCTCTAACCCCAGAGGTGAATGAGACAATCGTTAGACATCATCAGAATGCAGATGTTTTGCTAGTGTAAAAGTTCATAAAAATACTAAAATGATGGCCATAACCGTCCCCTCAGTGAATAAAGATGGTCAAATTTTCAATGTCTTGTCCTCACCCCTTTGTTGTAACTTTCTGTTTTAGTCTATTATGAAAATATGACGCTTGTTCAAATACTTAGGTTCATAAATAAATCAACTTCAAGTGGTAGCTCAGTGGGAAAGCGCTTCGCTATGCCTGAGGGCCAAGGTTCAGTTCCTAGTACCACAAGGGAGTCACACATGAGTCATTAGAACTCAGTGAATACAGGTGAGGGGCGAGAGAAACTGGAGATGACTCCTACATTTTCATAACTAGAAAAGCAGTCAAGAGAGCCCACCCTTCAAAACAGCTCCTGTACTTCACCAGGTAGTCCGATTCCTTTTTCTCTATTGTTACTATTATTATTGTGGTTATACTAATTAAAAAGTGACACTTTGATTCTTAGTGAACTGAAGTTTCAGATGGTGTTTGCAATATTTCTTCTCTTATGATTTCAGCAGTTCTGGGCCAGTAGATAGCATCATTCTTGAATGGTGAAGGAGAGAGGAATTTCGTGCCCTGGAAAAGGAACGCAAGATGCCTCTTCATTTGATCTGTCTGTAAACCTAACCCCTTCTGCCAATGTAATGTTCAGGGTTCAGATTGCCACTGTTTGGCAGAAAGGAAGGAGAGAATTCCCTTAATAGAATGTGATTCCATTTGTTGAATAATAAATGGTGCCATGTCAGACTGCTTTGGGGAGAAAAACAAAAACAAAAAAACGATGAGAAGAGAATCAAATGATCTGCCCTGGCTGGCAGGACAGATGTCTCGGGCATCTTTTTAAGTAACATTAGTCTAGTTCCTTGATTTGCTTCTCATTGGCAGCCTTCTCTTGATAGGAATGAGCCTGTTCCGGGTTCTCTATTGCTGCTTTTTTGGGTAATGCCCTGCCTACAGTCAGGGAGTTTGAATGCCCCTACCCCCACCAGGAGTAGGGGGCCCTTGGATCCCAGTACTGATTTGTTTTGTCTTGTTTGATTGGTGATACTCATCTTCACTTGCCAATCTACCACTTAAGTCCTACCTCCACCCATTGCTCTACCTACATTTTGCCGACAATTTTGGCACTGGAGTCCGCTGAACTTTCTTTTTACCCAGGCTGATCTGGAACCATGATCTAGCTTGAGTAGCTAGAATTACAGGGATTGCCACTGGTGCCTGGCTGTGCCCACTCACTTTTGAGGGGCTGTAACACTGCTGTTCTGGCCCTGGACAGGTATCATGAAGGTCAGTGTTGCAGTTTACACATTTTAAGACCCTCTTAGGTTGGAATGGAGTGGTTGTTGGTGCTGGCTAGGGTACACAGAAAGGGCCTGGGAAGGCTAGAGCCTCCAGCCCTTTGGACTCCATAACAGGAAATAATTGGATGGAGTGGAGCTCTCCAAGCAAAGGAAAGAAACAATCTCTGTGCCAAAGTGGACTCTGTCCCACTAGCAAAATTAGTTAAAAGGGATCAGAGCCACTGTGGTCTTTCGGTGGGTTTTGGTTCATTTGCCTCAAATTTGGCCCTTCTATTGGCACTGCATTTCTCCAGCTACTATTAAATATGTTTATGATGAAGGTCTGTGGAAAAAGCGACGGCAGGGGCAGAACAAAACTTTCCAAAGATGCCCAAACCCATGAGACCTGCCCGCTGTCCCGCCCTCTGTGCAAGTCCCCACCCAGAGAGCTCAGCAGTCTGCGCTCACACCAGGACCATCCAGGTCTCATGTCCCTAGATGGTCCTGGTGTGAGAGCAGACTGCAGGACCCAGCAGACCCAGGACCCCTCACTGCGTCATCCAGGGGTCTCCCCCGGACTCTCCCCACATGCATTTCTTTCCTAGAAAGGCTTATAGAGCCAGCAGGTGACTGGGAGATGAAGGATAGGACCCTGGGGGTCTGTGTGCCGCTCTGGGCTGTCCTTAATGTTGATGCTGGCTCATGTCTGGGCTCCTTTTAGAGAAGATAGTCATTGTGTCTGCCATTAGGCTTTTGTCTTCCATTGGTTCTGATTTTGATGACTTTTCTTGACTCTTCATTGGCTGCTGTCTTTGTGCTAGTTAGCTTTCTGTTACTGTGACAAATACCTGAGATGAAAGAAACTAATAGAGAAGGAAGGTTTACTTCACCTCAGTGTTTACTCAGTTCACTACCTGTAGGCCCCAAAGCAAAGGGGCCTGTAGGGAGGTGGCGTGCCATGGCAGGAAGCATGTGGTAGAACACAGGAAGTGTTGGATTATTGGCTGGTAGAGAGGAAAAGGAAGGGCGGGCTCACAGGAACCCCCCTCTGTCACTGGACACAGCTCCAATGACCAAAACGCCTCCCGCTCGGTGCCACCTCTAAGCAAAGCTCCCACCACTTCTCAGTAGCCCTGGGGGCTGCAGACTGAGCCTTTCACACGTGGGCCTGGGGGGACATTCCAAACCCTGCAATCCAAGCAGTCTGTGATTAATTTCTTACTCTATTTTACTATAAAGATACTGTAGAGAGGGGTTACAGTTACACGAGGAAGGTAATGAGTTCATTTCCTATCGAGCATTGTTGCCCCCTCCTTTGCTTTTCCCCATGACCCCTGTCATTAATTTTAAGCATCTTTGGTTTAAAAACAAATGCAAAGAGACAAAACTTCAAGGACAGAATACCCAGGTACTCACGGGCTGAATTGTAAATACAATTTTGGCTATCATTTGATTGATGAATGAAGTAATATAGCTATTAGTATGTATCTATTATTACTACTATTACTATTATTTATTTTGGGGGTTTGACCTTCCATGCTCTTTTCCCCCTTAGGTGACAGCACCAATCCTCCCAGAGAAGACACCCCCACCAGCAGCCAAGACTCACTTTCCTCCCCCTCACCCACGACTGCCGCTGCCCAGGGACTTCCTGGACCAGAGAGAAACCACCTGCTGGTGGATGGAGGGAGCTCTGGGGACTGGGCGTAAGTGGCCATGTTGGGTTTGGTGCTGAAGGAAGGGGGCGGGGACTGTGGCCGCCATGCTGACCTTCCCAGGCCTCTGAGGTCAGCCTTGCATAAACAGTGGGGCTGCCAGGAGTGGAGCTGGACCGCAAGACCTCTCTGGAGAATGCTGTGCACGTTCCTAGTATAGAAAGGATGCTCCTTCGAGGCTGACCGAGTCCAGTTGGTGGACTCAGGGCACTTGCCCCGTGGAAGCTTGTCGCTGGCTTACTCAGCTGTCTTTCTCACTGTTCGGTGAACATGGTGAGAGAGAAGAATCCACACGCTGGTGGAGAACCTATTGGAGGATATTTTTGTCATGTGATTCTTGTTTTGGTTTCCTTTCAGTGTTTAATGAGCATGCATGTGTCACGGGAGGGTTTCATTGGGATGCATCCACACGTGCTCACCGGAACACCTTCACCCCTCTTCCTGTGTCTTCCCTCCTCCCCTCCTTTTCAGCTGGTCACTGGGTTTCACTAGGCCATACGCATGTGTATGAGAGACTTGCTGCCATCCTTCTAGCCCACGTGAGTTCTGTGAAGTTCAGACGGCTCTATGCTAGTTCTTCTTCATTTCACTCCATGGCACCTTGCATAACAGAGACATGATGAATGAGGTCAGGTGGAATCTCCTCTGTCTGGTTAGCTCCCAGGCCTGGGCATATCAGCGCAGGACTATTAGGACCGATAAAATTCGTTGTGATGGTTCGAGTAACTGAGGGTTTTCCTTGTGCTATGGAGTCCTGCAGCCTGGGTCCAATGCTTGCAAACAAGCATTTGAAGACAAATAATTAGATGACTTTACTTGATGAGCCAATCCAATTGCAGTCAGAGATATATTTTTAATCCACCTACAAAGCATTAAAAGTTTTTTAAACCAAACTTGCTGAAAATAGATTATTATAATGATGTCATCTGAGTCTAGCCAGGCATTCTGGGGACTTTAAATGGATTGGAAAGTGGTCCTTACATTACTTAGCTTTTTATAGTTACAGCTGGAGTCATATGAAATCATTATGAACTTATTAAGTATTAAGAGAGGCTGGCCTGCTGAAAATTTTGGGGTGACCTGATGCCACTGAAAAGCCAGCTTAAAAATCCAAGTAAAACCCATTCTCCAAAGGAGCTTGTGTCCTTCCCAGATTTGCGAGTTTATATTTAATTTGCATGCTGAAGATTGTCTATGGAGGATGAAATTTATTATTCAGAGGTGCTTTCAACCCTACTATATATTGGCTGTAGAAAGTCTTTCTAACTTTGGTACTACAAGCTACAAGAACTTTACGTACCTAGGTTCCTAGCCCAGTCTGTAATCCTGGCTGCACTTGAGGTGGAGTGTGTGTGTGTAATCCTGGCTGCACTTGAGGTGGAGTGTGTGTGTATGTGTGTGTGTGTGTGGTAATTATCTCTTTCAGAAAGTACATATCACAGTCAGTGGAGAACGGTTCAGTTAGTCATCTTTCTTCCACGGTGCCTTGGCTGAGAAGTGACATTATGAGCCATGGGCTGCCCAGTGTTCAATTCCCAACACGTCCGGCTCCGAAACAAGAAGCACTTGATATTTTTGGTCATAAATCAAATGAGATGTGAATTCCCCAGTTTCCTCTTCATGCACATTTAAAAATGTCATGAAAAGCACTCCAACCTTGAGAGCCCAAACCGGGTCGTGGGGGGAGGGGGGCGGAGGGGGAGTAGAAAGATTTTTGTTACAATGGAAACTTGCTCCTATTTTAAGAACTTGATTTTCCCCCCCTCTTATGCAGTAGCTGAAATGTATCTCTCTTTCTCTTAAGTATTAGAGTGCTTCTAGAGTCTGTTTGAAAGCATTTACTTGTGAGCATCCAGTGTGGACCAGGTTTGTCTTCATTGTACAGATGAGTTCTTCTCAGACCTGGCTATCTGTCATCATCACCTCAGGAATTTGTGAAAACCCACAATTGTGGGCTTGGGGTACAGCTTGCACTTAGCATGCTTGAAGCTCTGGGTTCAATTTCAGAATCAAACAAGCCTCTACTCTTGAGTCCTGCTCCAGGAAGTAGGAAGTAGTGTGGAAGCTAGCCTTTCTGACAAGCTCCCGGCCATGACTGAGTGAGCTCTGACCGTGCTTTCCAACCTGATTGGATCACAGCAATGCCTCTTGAGGAGTACACTTGGGGCAACTGGTCTTTCTCCCTGGTTTGTTAATGGACACGCAATCGTTGTATGTATATGAGGTATAATGCGTATTATTCAGTGTGTGACGATCAAATCAGCCCTGTTAGCATATGCATCACCTCAGACGCTGATTATTTCCCTTGGGGGAACAGCCCAAATAGTCTTCACTGCCTGTTCTAAAATATACAGCCAGTCCTTGGCCATTTGTCCACTTGGCCTACTATGCTCTAGAGCAGTAGAAGCTAGCCTTCTACCTCTGGCACCTGTAATTCTCACTACTGGGGAGGATTATTGTTCTAGGTCAGCTCAGGCAAAAAGAGAGAACCTGTCTGAAAAAAATAACCTAAGAACAGAGAGAACCTGTCTGAAAAAAATAACAGAAAGGCCTGGATGTGTGGCTCAAGCAGTAAGACCTCAAGTGCAACTCAATTTAAAAAATTAATATAACTGCACCCCTTTACCTGTGTCTCCTCCCCCCACCCCCACCCCCACCTCTAATCTACTCTAGGCTTCACAAGATCAATATTTTGATCATGTGTGTGTGTGTGTGTGTGTGTGTGTGTGTGTGTGTGCACGCGTGCAGTAAACAGATGCTGTTCTCGGGTGGGATGTTGCCTGTCTCTCAGTGGCCTGCTTCAAAAATTCCACTAGGAGTTTACTCAGGACGGTCTGGCCTGTCTTAAGGGTCTAATTTAGTCTTCCCTTTAGTAAGTCTTCCGACTTCCTAAATAATTCCTTTCTTTGCTGGTACTTATGATTGGGCATTAACAAAACATTACCTTTGAGGATTGCCTTTTAATAATATTTGATATCTATGTGGTATGTATATATCTGTCTACATATCTAGTCTTGCCCTAACTCCAAGTTAGATCATGAATTTTTTTAATGTTGGAGTTAGATATGACATTCTTTGAATGGTTTTCTGATATTGACAGTTATTAAGTAAACATTAGATTTCGTACGTTAATTATTACAACATTTATAAGAGGCTTACTTTTGGAAGCCTCATTTTTTCCCCATGTATTTCATTGCATGTCTGCTCCTTGTAATGGAAGACCAAAAACTCTTCCTCCAGGAATTCCATGGAATTCGTGTGAGCTCTTTCTCTTCACAGATTCCTCCTTTGTCTCATTTGCATTTCAAGGCTGAGTTTTTCTTGTGTGTGCACACTCCTGGCCTTTGTTCTCCACCTCTGCACACCACCTGCACAGTACTGACTACAGACGGCTCTTGGTAAATGCTGATGAAGCTCCTTTTTATCCGGAGTTGCTGTGGGGTTGCTAAGTCGCTGCCCAGGGCTTGCAGAAGGAGGCACTTGCTTGTGCTGCCTGCTTTCCAACCCCAATGTTGACTCTGTGTCCCGGATCTAACACTTGCCTTATCTCAGGCCCTGGGTACTCGGGTCTGTGCGCGTGTAGATTACCTAGGACGACCTGAGTCCCTCAGAAACGCCAGAACCTCAGCCACTGGAAAGCAAACTGGCAGAGGAAACCCTCTGGCAGCCGTGATTCTGATGGAGACAGTGTGTAAATACAGCTGTGGCCTCTGGCAGGTGGGAAACAATGCAGCAGAAATTGGATTTCTTGGGCTCCTGCTGATGTTTATGACGTGTGGGCATTATTCATTGCAGTCAATCAATCTGGTGCGGTTTTACCTGTACACGCAGGAAGGTGCTGGGTGACTTGGTTGCCAGTGAAGAATTGCTGGTGATCCTCCTTGGGGGCATTACCTCATAGGTCAAGGTATCTCAGATGTCCCAAAGTCACTCCCCCCACCTCCATAAAGCAGTTTGCTCTAAACAGGTTTGCTTCAATTATAATGGATGGAGCCAGGTCTTTGACAAGTAATTCTTTTAGTTTCCCTGCCACAGAAGAAAATCTCTTTTTAAGAAATTCCAGACATTGCTCCCTGCTTCCTCTACAGATTTCAAATGAAAAGGCACAGGCTCCTTTTCTGCCACTCTCCACAAGGGAGTGTCCCTGAAGAGTTCTTTCTAGTAACAGATGTCAGTGTCCTGAGGTGCATCTCACTCAGAACCCCAGCACGTCCAGAGCACCCTCCGAGACTCCGTGAATTGTGAATGTTAAGATTTCCCCAAAGCTGGGCGTGGTGGCACATGCATGTAATCTCAGCTACTCGGAACGCAGAGATAGTTGATCCCAGGATAAAGCATGGGATCCTATTTGAAAAATAAAGTACAAAGGGCTGGAGGTGTGGCTTAAGAGGGTATACACCTACCAAGCCTGAGCCCTTAGTTCAAACCCCAGTACTACCAACAACCACGGTGATAACAGTAGCACATAAAAACTACTCCCAAGGCTTCCCTCCCAGCAATTGCTCGGCTCCATGTTGTGCTCTTGAGCTTGGTGCCTACCCAGACTTGATGTTGATTTGCTATTCATTTGTTGCTTGGAACTGAACCCAGGTCCTTGAGCTATGCCAAGAACTCAGTCTGACATCACGAGCCCATGGGTAGTTACTGAAAGGTAGTAGATAAGGCTGGGCGTGACGCTGCCTGCTTGTACTCCTAGCTGTACCCCCAGGCAGGAGGCTGAGCCTCAGCATCAATCCGGGCGGTGAATTCGGGGCCAGCCTGCACAGAGGCCCCCATGTCAGAATCCCAGCTGTGTTCTCCTTGCGGCCCTGTGCGTGCTGTGCGCATCCCTTGCTTTCTTTATATCCAGCACGTAGAGGTCTCGGTGGCAGTCGCTGCCCAAGGACTGCTTTTCATCAGGGTGATGGATTTCATTCGGAGATACCCAAGTATCCCCCGAACAGGATTTGTGGTTCAGGTACTACAATAAGCTATGAATGATAATCGTGTAA